CATATGCTAAGTGGATAAAGACAGACACAGAAGATCACGTATTGTATTACTGCATTTATATGAAATTCAGAATAGGTAAATTCATGGAGATAGAAAGCAGACTACAGGTTGCCAGGGCCTGGAGAGAGGGAAGAATAGTTACTGACTCCTTAATGGGTATAGGGTCTCCTGTAGAGGTGTTAAAAATGGTTTAGAATTAGATGCTTGCACAACATTGTGAATATACTAAATGCTACTGAATTGTACACTTTAACACAGTTCTCTTATGTGACTTTTGCCTCAATTTAAAAAACATCAATAGCATTGAGGTAGAAAAACCATTCTAAACATATGTACTACAGCTTATTTTGGTATCAAATAGCTAAAAATCAGAGAAGATTGCAATCAAAGACAAAAAGCATTAAGTACTGTAATGAGTTTTTTTTTAAGTAGCCTGACCCTTAAATAGTTATTTCATTTCTTTTTTTTTTTTTTGGTGGGAAAAGACTTGCCAGGAAAAGATAATGGCTGTTGTCAGCCCCAAGCAGATTTGACATTACTGCTATAAAATTATGAAGCTAAGGATTTATGATAAATTGGTGACATCATCTCAACTGCAAAAGCATGAATATGTTACTGTAATAAAAAGATTCTCAGATTTAACACAATCCAGAAAATGAAATAATTGTCTTTAAATGTGTGCCTGCACTTGAACGATAAACCAGGGAGCTGTCAAAATTAGGCACTATATTATGAGATAGTGACTTTACAAGGCTTATCAGTGTGAACATCCATTCTGTTTGAAAATTTGGAGCTGTATACTCAGAGTTAAAGTTCAGGATTGGTCTCAACCAAATGGTAGTTTGGCAGTGAATCAAAGAGCTTAGAGATTTACTGTGGTAGCTATAAACCATTTTTCCTTCTACAAAGTCCTGATAAGTAGGGGGACATGTTTGGGTTCCTTGGACTAAAGCAGCCAGGCACATTGAGGGACCCAAAGAAATTGTGCTGCTATGTTTTAAAAAAAACAAACAAACAAATAAAAAACAAAGACTGTACCTGGCAGCACTGTCAGTTTCTCTACAGCATGGCAGTATGTTCATGCATACTAGATCATCAAGGGCACGTCACCATTAAGCATGAAAAATGAAGATGGAAACTGATACTTTGGATTAAGGTTTTTATTGCACTAGGATTTTTTCCTAGGCTAGGTAAAAATTATTTCCAATGACTAAATGCTGGAGGAAGAAAAACAGAAAAAGTGCTAAGTTATCTTCATATTTTTATTTTAATTATTCTCCACAAATAAAACCTGTAGCTTGCTACCATTCAGCTATCTCAGATATTATTTTCTATACAACAAAGTAAAATTAATCCTTTGAAGATTCATGGCTAACTATCATTCCCATTTTGTAAGGAAGGAGTAGGAACATCATGTGGTTAGTTATGATTGAAACAGCATGATGAATTTCTTCCAGAGGCTGTTTTCTTAAGTTAAAGACAGTAAAATGAGCCATCAATAACTTCATTTTAAACTAGTAATTACCACAAATTGCTGCTATAGAACTTAGAACATGCGATAAGAGAAGTGTGTCCTGACATACAAAAATATTCAGATGGAAAACAGGTATGTTTCAAAAATCAAATTATATTTAAACACTGAAACAAAAACAATAACCCCCAATTTTTAGCAAGAAAACTCTGAAGAAATTGCTTTGTGGATTACTGCAACTTTTGTAATGAATATACTAGCTGCTTGGTGTGGGGAGTGCAGAAATGAAAAGTTAGGATAAAATTTTAAGTTCTCTTTAAAGATGATTAAAGATAAATACTTGAATATATATATATATATATATATATATATACACACACACACACACACACACACACACACCTAAGAAATCCTCACATTATCGTCTTTGTGAAAATGTTGATTCTCTACTAAAATCTTACCACATTTTTATCTATGCATGCTGTTCTTTTTCTGTAATAGCATCTCCACTTGTCATCTCATACTATTCTAGTGTTCCATGATGTATTAAATTCTTTATGTTAAGGAAAACCACAAAGATAAAAATCTATTGATGAAGGGCGACTTTCACTTGGTGTCTTAGGCCCCTTACTTTAGGACACCTTCCACTATGGGCTGTGTACAGCAAGCTTCTGAGTTGAATTATCTTGTTATTTGCCTTGGTGACTGCCAATCTGTGCTACTGCCTTTGCAGACAGGGAGCCCCACTGCTCTGAGAATTTTGATATTCGAGGTAATCCACTATCTGCTACACATGTTTTAACTGTTACCATAAATGGTGATGAACACTGAGCCATTTCTCTTTGCCTACCTGTCCAGTCCCCCATGCTATGAGAAATATATGAACATCATCATAGAGCTTAGAAAATATTTTCTTCCACACCTTTCACAGCAACCTAAGTTTTACATCACATGGTTGTCTTACAACTCAAATAAAATAATGCAGGAGAAAGATCTGTGAGTTATAAAGTACTCTACTTGTTAATATAAAAATAATCCTACATTTTTGATAGCATACATTTTAATATTATCAAAATAAAATCCATATTAAATATGCCATGGGATATAGAAATTATATTTAGAAATTTAGATATTAACTAGTTTCATGAGCTATAAGAGAAGCTCTTCTTACTTTCTACCTGGTGTTATTTCTTTTTTCCACATTTTTTTACTGTTGCTCAAGTACAGTTGTCTCAATTATCCCCCATCCCCATTTCCCACCCTTGATCCTACAAAATAATTATATATTCTTAAGAGTCCTAAATTCTAGCTCAGAACTCATATGTAGTAAATTGGATTTCAATGCCACATACAATGGACACTGATGGTGGTCTAACAAGAAATTATATACACAAGTCTGTTCTCATCCCAACTCCTACCATTTTTAAGACTTTGTCTATAATTTTTTTCATGTCGAATAAATGATTCATCTAACACATATTTATAATTTCTTCATCTAATATCAAAGAACAAAAAAATAAATTCACTTCAATTTTAATTTTTCACGTACACTGTATAGTTTTCCAGCTTTGTTATTTTTGTGGTCCTTTAATGAGACTAGTGCCATATCTTTGTGATATTTTCCTCTGTTGTCCCTCTGTATGATACATTGAGCTGTTTGTGAGAAGCTTTACCAAATCCAGTAAAAGCTTCACTGAACATTGCCAGAAAAGAAAGAAATGAGCACACAGTAATATTTTTTCACTAATAGTGTCAGCAATTAACAAGTGTAATCAGGCAAACTAAGTAAAGCTTGGAGAGTAAAGGATAGAGCCTTCGAGACTCAGGATGTGAAGGATGCTTTTAAAGTTGTTGACCACTTTACAAGCTTCTGTGTATTTATAAAAGTAGCACTTTTTGAAGCACTTCCCTTATCCCATCTCCATATTGGAAGCATGTCCATCTTGCAGATTACATTACCAGGCCCTGTCCTTTATCATGGACTCTGTTCATTTTCTGACCATTTAAATAAACACTTGTTGAAGCACCTTTTAAAGCAAGCACCTAGTGATCTCCTTCCTAATGACCTGATGATCATTCTAAAAATTAAGAGAATAAACAAGAAGAATGCATTGCCCTGTATCAGTGTACCTCGCTTCTCCAAATCCACCCCAAGCTTGAGATTAGGCGAGAACTAATTAGTCTGGAAGCTTCTGTTGACAACTGACTTGGGGTTAGGACGTGGCATGGATTAGTCACAAAATTTTGACAAGATTTTAAAAATTTTTTAAATTTTAAAATTTTCTAAACTATCGGATATTAGTATCTTTTCTGAAGTCTGGGAAAGAAGCACAATCCCTGGGGTTAATCAGTCTTCAAGGAGAGTTCTGGCAAGAAAAAAAAAACAGGCAAAATCTGACTCAACAGGTTCAGGAAGATATTTTCCATGATTAATTAATGGCCTACCAGAGCCCGTACTACAATGGGACAAAATGGCTAGAGCCCAAAATACAAAGAGGCACTTTCTGTCACTTGTATAACCCTAGTCAGCCCTGCTGATCAAATAACTTCATTTTAACTATTAAAAGACAACCAATGAAGATGTTTTTATTCAATAAGGACAGCAATGAGCAGATACCACAGCTCTTTTCCATTACACTTTATAGAGTTCTCAACACACTTTTCATCTGGATTATCACATTAGGTCAACCTCACCTTCCTAGGGCTAGAAGTGCAGAATGTATTAATCCCTCCTCATACATGAACAAATAAGTTTAGGGGAGATCTAGGATTTGGTTAAGATAGTAAAGGTAGTAGGGTAGTAGAGGTAAGAAGCCTGCAATTCTCTATGCCCAGTACTCTTTTCACTACACTACATAATGCCAAGTCTCCCTGTGAGGTCCTTTATAGCATCTGATTCTATAGCATATATTGATTAGGATTATCTATGGAGTCACTACTGGCTGTTTTATATTAACTTTACAATGAAATGAGCTTAAATTTGTCAACTAACCACTGACCATAAATAGCCTTATGAGGAAGGAAAAATAAACTAAAGGAATTCGTCTAATGGTTCTTAATGCCAGGCTTTAACATTTTAGGGGAAATCAAAACCATTTATAAATCAACCTCACAGATAATTTTTTTAATCCTGTCATTGGTTGCATGATAGAATCATTTTGTTGTTGTTATTTATGGTATGGTCAACAAGACTTAGAAACCATTGGAAGCATATGGGTAACTTTGCTAAGAGTTGTAAAGAAGCTGGGATTAGGGCAGGTCTATTTAGTATCAAGTTTAAGCCCCTTGTACTGGGAGATGTCCAGAAAAGAGCAGAATAAAAAAAGACCCTTGCCAATCAGCAACATGTGGTCTGTTGGTCTTTCTCTGCAAAGCCCTGCTTCAGACAAAAACTTTCTAACACTAACCAGATATACAATTTAGGTGTCCAAAAAAACCACAAAACCTTGGAGTTACAGATCTAATTTCCTGGATACAGTGGATTAATATGGAAAATGTCTAAATTACTTAAAAGTGAAGAGAAACTTACTCCTCCCCATGTTTTCTTGTGGTCCTCAGGAGATTCCTGGATGATGATTCCCTGTTAAAACACAGCACATACACACAGTCAGATTCACAGAGTCTGAGTCACTACATTACATCAAATAAGTTCCATTAAAATTGATGAGGTCAACATTAGCATTTCATTTCAGTACATTCTAATCTTGCCCCTTTACAAAAATGTTTTCTCTATCACAAACAGATATTTAACTTTAAAGGACAGAAACACAGTATTCTGGAAGCATGAAGTTTATATAAACTTACAGTGACCTTGTTTGTCTGGCATTAGTTTCTACTCTTGCCAAAAGAAATTCATCAAATTAGTCACATGCTTATCTCTTGGGAGAGGGCAGTGATATCAATGAAAGTTTGTGGACAAACAATGCTAAAAGGCCCACGTTTAATAACTAGGCTACTGTGTTATTACTTTGCCTATACCTGGCTTCTCTTCAATGTCATTCTTTGACAAATCCAATGCTGTTATAGCATAACACCTTCCTGGTGTTAAACAGCAGTACCTCTAATCAAATTATCCCTGAGGCAAAGCAGCCCACAGAGTTATTATCCATAAACAGTATGAATCAATAACTATGAACTACTGACAACAAAAACTTTGGAGAAATTAAAGCATGTATTGTAAAAGCAAACATACATGGAAGAGCAGCGATATTGTTTTTAAAAGATGAAGATACATGCACAGAAGCTATTTTATACCACAGTGCTTCATTTTTCTTACAGGTTTCAATCATAGAATGATCACAGATTTATTGTTTACCTGCTACATTCACAATATGGAGCTAAACACCAGAAAGGCAAAATTATAATCTATCAATTGATTAGATTGATAGATTATGGATAGATTATTATACAATCAATCCATTCAAGAATGCATAACCTACTTAAAGCTAAGCACATAGGGGAGAGTAATATAATCAAGATGGCCACATAGGTCTCCTTCATAGGCCAAATTAGTCCCTCTCACAGGAAGACCACCAGCAACTACCCATAGAAAAGACACCACTATGAAAATCCCACAGTAGAAGGGTAAAAGGAGTACATACACTCTGACCGCACTGCTTCTCCTCCACACTGACACAGTGCCACACCAAGAGGGCACCCTGAGCCTGTGGCTCCTACAGTGGTAAAAGAGAGCATGAGGTGTACCAGTTTCGCCAGCATGTGAAATGCTTCCCAGGAGGCTCACTCAGGTCTTGCCTCATGTGAGTCACTGGAGGAATCCTCAGGGCTTTGATAGAGGTGGATAAGGGGGGTGGAGGTTATAGCAAATAGTGCTCAGGTCTTGGCAGACAGCATTCCTGCTTGCGGCAGTGACTGAGCAGAATCACAGCCAGATCTCTGTCTATCTGCAGAGCTAAGCCAGTGACCCCTCTGGCTAGGAAGCTCTGTTGGCAGTTCTGCTTGATTCGGATCCCTATCAGTGGGCCATATGGGCAGTAAAGCCTGTTCTACCACCCTGTCCAAGAAAGGAAGCAAATTCTCAGCTCCACCCAAGTGCTGAGCATAGCCTTCAGTTCTGCCCACCCAGGAACCCTGGCCAGAGAACTAAAAGAGCCCACAGAGCCAAATCCTACTGCCCTGCTTGGTCAGAGAGGCAAGCTAGCATCCTTGCCCAACTCTTAAGCATAGCCTCTGGCCCTGTTTAACTAGTGAGCCTGAATGGTGACCTTGGGCAACAGGAGACCAGTCTACAACCCTAATATGCAGATGAGGCCAGCCTATGACCATGCCCAATTGCTGAACATGACCTGGGGCTTTGCCTAGGCAGGAAGCCCAGCCAGTAACCCTGTCCAGGCAGGAGCATAACCTACTTCCCTAGCCAACAGAAAAGCCCAGCCAGTGAATTTCCCTATCTGCAGAGCACAGAAAATGGCTCAGGTGATCACGAAGACCAGGATAGAGCCCCCCCTCAACTTTCTGGCACAGTCTGTGGTCCTGCCTAACCCCAGAGTACAGCCTAAGGCCACATCAGACTACTAAATACTGCCTGCAGCCCCACCTAAACACAGAGTCCACAAAATGGCACCATCTGGTTGTAGAGAGCATAGTCTGAGATCCCACATAGTCAGGGTAGTTGCAGAGAACAGCCCATAGCCCTTCCCAATTATGGAGTTCAACCAGTGGTACCATCCTGTCAGTGAACATAGCCTGGGACTTAACCCAACCAGAAGTGATTGCAGAGCTCTCAGCTAGTGGCCCACCTGATTTGCAGAACACAATCAATAGCCCCACTAAATAAGGATATGGTCTCCCAGTGGTCCTGCTTGAATAGAGCCCACCCAGCTGTGGAGTCCAGCCAGAGGCACCCCTCCAACCCAAACTCAGAGCATAAGCAGTGGTCTTACCCTACTACAGACCACAATAACAAACCTTGCCTGCCAACACTAGCTACCAAATGACCTATCTAGTACCCCCAAGCTGCAGCGACTGGTGAAGGTCTTTCCCTGCAGAAGTGAACAAATAAAGTTTTGATGAGGAGGACAAACAAATGCACAAATACCAATGCAAGAAATCAAGCATCAAAAAGAAACAGGTAAACATTATAACACTTAAAAAAAAAACTAATAAAGGGCCAATAACTGACCCTAAAGAAATGGAGAACTATCTGTAAAGGAATCCAAAATAATCCTCTTAAAGAACTTCAGTGAGCTATGAAACACACAAACAGACAACTAAGCAAAATTAGGAAAACAATGCATAAACAAAATTAGAAGGTCAACAAAGAAAGAAACCATCAAGAAAACCCAGAAATCTTAAAGTTAAAGAATACAATGACTGAAGAATTCAATGCAACAAAATGACAATTGTGATTATCTATCGATAATTACTTTAAATGTAAATGGACTAAATTCTTCAATCAAAAGAAACAGAATGGCTGAACAGATTTAAAAAAAATAAGATCCCAGCAACAGGCTACCTACAAGAGACTCGCTTGAGATTTAAGGATACATTTAGAATGAAGTAAAAGGATGGAAACAGACATGCTAAGCAAGTGGTAACCAAAAAATGCAGAGATAACCATACTTATCAGAAAATATAGATTTTAAGCTAAAAATGGTCACAAGACACAAAGGCCATTATACAATGAAAACAGATCAATTCATCAAGAAGATATAACAATTGTAAATATTTATGCACACAACTTTGAAGCAAAAAGGAGAAATAAACAGCAATACAAGAATAGTTGGGGATTTTAATACCCTACTCAACAATGGAGAGATCATCCAAAAAGAGAATTAATCAGGAAATAGTGGATTTAAACAACACTACAGATCACATGAACAGAATAGACACACACATAGAACATTCCATCTACCAGGAGGACAATACACATTCTTCTCAAACACACATGGAAGCTTTTCTAGGATAGATCATCTGGTAGGCCACAAAATGAGTCTCAAATACAAAAAGATAGAAATTATACTGAGTATCTTTTACAAAATGATGATATGAATGAGAAATCAATAATGAGAGGAAAGCTGAAAATTCTCAAATACATGAAAATTGAGACACTCCTGACCAACTAATGGACCAAAAAAGAAATAAAAATATATTTTGAGTCATGCAAAAATGGAAACACAACATAAGAAAATCCAATGGGATTCAGTAAAAGCAGTTCTAAGAGGGAATTTTACAGTGATAAATTTTCAAGAAAAAAGAATGATTTCAAAGAAACAACCTAACTTTACACCTCAAGGAACTAGTAAAGAAAGAATATACTAAGTCCAAAGTTAGCAGAGGAAGGAAATACTAAATATTACAGCAAAACTAAATGAAATATAAAATAGAAAAACAATAGAAAAGTAACAAAAGTGAAAGTTGATTCATTGAAAAGATGGAACAAAATTGACAAACCTTTAACTAGACCAAGAAAAAAGAGAATCCAACTAAATAAAATCAAGAGGAGAGAAGAGATCATGAGACTACTATGAACAATTATACATCAACAAATTGGATGGACGACCTAGTAGTGGATCAATTCCTAGAAACATACAACTCACCAAGACTAAATAATGAAGAAGTGGAAAATCTGAACGAACAATCACAAGAATAAATCATAACCAATGCCCCCTCCCCCAAACAAATAAAAGCCCAGAACCAGATACTTTCCCTGGTAAACTGTACCAAACATTTTTTCAAAATCCTTCTCAAATTCTTTAAAAAAAATTTTATCCTCACCTGAGGACATTTTTTCATTGCTTTTAGAGAGAGAAGGACAGAGGAAGGGAGAGAGAGAAACATTAATACAAGATAGAAGCATCGATTGGATGCCTCCCATACATGCCCAGACAGGGAATCTTATCTATGAAGACCAGAGACTGAACCTGTAATGTAGGTATGTGCCCTCACCAGGAACTGAGCCTGTAACCTTTGGTTACAGGACAACACTTATAAAAAATTGAAGAGGAAGGAACACTTCCAAACTCATTTTATGAGGCCAACATTACCCTGACACAAAAGCCAGATAAGGGCACTACAAGAAAACTCCAAGCCAATATCCCCAGTGAATACAGGTGCAAAAATTCATAACAAAATATTAACAAAACCAAATTCAACAACACATATGTAATATAATCAAGGCCATATCAGAAAGGCCCACATACCATTGTTGAATACACTCAACAATGAAAGGTTCAATGCTTTCTCTCTAAGATCAGGTACAAGACAAAGGTACCCATGCTCAGTGCCATATGATCTAGCAATTCCAATTTGAGGTATATATTTAAAGGAAATAAAATAACTGCCTGGAAGAGATTTCTATACTACCAACTTCACTGCAGCATTATTTGACTATTGTCAAGGCACAGAAACACCTAAATATCTAATGACAGATGAATGGATAAAGAAAATGTGATACACAGACAGAACCACAGAACAGAATATTATTCAGTCATAAAAAAGGAAATTCTGCCATTTGTGACAGCACGGATGAACCTTGAGGGCATTATACTAAGTGAAATAAGTCAGACATTAAAAGACAAGTACTGTATGATCTCACTTATATGCAGAATCTTAAAAAAG